TTTTTTTAATTCTAGTCTTGTGTAGTCCTAAAGTTACACAGGAAGGGACCCATTAACAGCTTGGACCTTCCTGTTGGTACTTACTTTCCATTTGCTATGGAACCTTATTTAATTTAAAGGTGTCACATCTGTGGAGTGGAAAAATCATTCCCTGGAGAGAAGAATCAACCTCCTTAAACACTGACACAGAAATTAGAATTCTGATTTCTTACCTGATTTCTCATGTGGGTTTTTTTTTTTAAAGCATACACTGAAAGTCACTGAAATGGAAGTGAAAGTTTAAAGCAGAGGCTTGAAATGTTTTAAACCAAAAAGGCTGGGGACATGTTGGTTTTTTTTTTTTTTTTAAATGTCAAAATATCTGTCTTGCTTGCACCTATAATATTCTCAGCCTTTTTTCTTCTTGCAGCACTTCTGTTTTGATCAATGCTCTGATAAAATGCAGTTCTCTCAAAGTTTCTCTGAGTATCTGTGAAAGGGGTTGTGTCTGAGTGTGTGTTCAGTGAGTTCTTTTGAGTTCAGGTCTCTGGAGATTGTGGGTTGCCTGCCTGTTACTTTGATATAATTTTTCTCTGTCTTCCTAATGACATTTTTTACTAATGTCCCATTAGCTTCCTCTTGTTTTTACAGTCTCTGGTACAGGTATTTCCACATTAGCTCATGGGTCTAAATTAGCTTTTTTTTTTTTGCTTATACTTTGTGCTTTTTTTTTTAATCAATCCCATTCTTACCCAGATTTCTCCTCCTCTGTTCTGACCTCATCCTCCCCACACACAGTTTCCAATCCAAACTGCATTTACACCTGACAGTCATTTTTCTTTTAATAATGCTTCATCTCCAGCAGAGCTTTAGCAATTCTTCCCCTTTCTGATCTCCAAATTCTTGACCCCTTGTACCCTTTCCTCCTGTTTCCCTGCCCCTTTCTCTTAATATCTTTAATCACCTGTCATAGCTTTACAGCTCCATGTCAGCAGCAGATAATTTTCATTGCCTTTATCTAAAAATACACTTTATAACTACAGCAATATATATATTTCAGTGTAGTACAATCTTCCTATGAAAGGAGTTGTGTAATAGGATGTTGTCAACATTCTTCATACCTGAATTTATTACCAGGAAACTGAGGGGCCTTTAGCAGCCCCACCTGAAATCCTGTACTTCTACTATTATCTTCTTTATCCAGTAGTAATTATTATTATATCCAAAGCAAATTCAAGCACATTGAACATCTGGTGAGAGAAATGGTTTGGGATGCAGGTCAGCAGTGAATGTTTCCAAATTATGAGCACTCTTGGGTCTCAATTATGAATTCCAGACCATTTTCCTATGGTCAGCCCTCACTCTCAGAAGTGCCCTGTTACTTGCAGTTGGGTGGCTCTCTGGGAGTGAAAATTTGGAGAATTTGGGAGTGAGAATCTGCAGAATAAGACATACAATCCATCAACCAAATATGTATCAGTTCTCTCATTTTAAAGGGTTGTGCACCAAATTTTTGTGCTGATAGAGGTACACAGAGAAGAAGAAGAAATAAATTTTTTTTGGTGAGAGATAGGAAGGCCTTAGTATTTAAAAGTCTCCCATGTCAATGCATATAGCAGTACCAGATGAAATAATAACTTATTTTTAAAGGCTTGTGCTTTAGAACAAAATTTTGTTTCATTATTGATATATTTTATATATTGTATAATTTTATATATTAATTTTGTTCTATGCATTATCTATAATTATATGTGATATATTACCATATTAGTGTATAATATATAACATATATAGTAATATATAATAGTATTTATTTTATCATTTAATAGATACTATTTAATATATTAATATTTATATGTTTACATATGTATGTCAATGTATAATACTATGTGTAGTTATGTATTATATTACATAATTTTATGTATTATATAATTTATGAAAAAAACCTTGGTGAAATAACACAGTGACTGAGAGATAATTTGTTTTCCCTTTTTTCTTTCCCAGGAACTACAGCTATAATATTACTATATTAATATATAATAATATAGACATAATAATCTCTAATACACACTATTAGAGATTAAGAATAATATATAGTATATTATGCATGCTATTTAATATTTTAATATTAATACATATGTATTTATAGATTATATAGCTATGTATAATATAGAATCTATATTAATTACATATATTCTATTATGGAATTAATTTACTATATAATATATATTATATATTAAACAACCTTGATAAAATAAGAGTGACTGAGAAGTAACTTCTTTTGCTGTCCCTTTTTTCTTTCCCAACAACTACAGCTATAATATTACTATATTAATATGTACTAATATATAAGAGAGATATAATAATCTATAGTATATTATGAACTATAGTGTATTAATAATATATAGTATATTTATATATACTATGTAATATATTACTATTATTATAAATCACAGAACTGTAGAATAATATATATAATTTAATATATTCTATTATGTAACTAATTTTATATATTATAAAATTAATGAAACAAACACCTCAGTAAAACCCCTCAGTGAGCATTCCAGAGAGAGAACTCCTTTTGTTGTCCCCTTTTTTTCTTTTTTCTCTCCTAGCAACTACAGCGCCCTGTTGGGAGTGTGGATCTACGGCTTTTTTGTGGTGATCCTGCTCATCCTGGACCTTTTATATTACTCCTCAATGAACTATGACATTTGCAAGTTTTACCTGGCACGGTGGGGGATCCAGGGGAAGTGGATGAGCCAGGGACAGAGCCGATGGATTAACCCTGCTCAGGACCCACGGCAGGCTCAGGCACAGCCTCAGCCAGAGACTCAGCCCCAGCCTCAGACATCACAGACAGTACACACTCTAAAAGGAGATGCTTTAAGCCCACCCCTGATGTCTTTTCAGAGTTCATCTGCCTGGTGAGTAACTTCAGACAACTGATATCTATTCTCTTGGCTCTGCTGTTTTGTAATGTGAATAATCACCTGGTTTTGGAAAGATCTGCAAATTCAGGGTGAACAGCACCATTGCTAGCACATAACTCTTGGTATCACGAACTGGCTTATGGAATTACTGCTTAGGAGCAATGTCTTACTCTGGAATACGTTAAGACATCTCTTGATGTTTTTCTCAGAGAAACAGGTGCTGCCATCTCTCAGTAGTTAACAGTTCTACTGCTGTCGTACAAAGCTTTGTTCTACATCAACCATTACAAAATTAGTTTTAATCTGGTCTCAAAGACTGATTGCTGTGTGTATCTGTTGGTCTGGTTATAAAAGACTCTGTGTATCCATTGGTCTGGTTTTAAAAGACTGTATAAATAGCAGAACTGAAAGAACTTCAGTGTGAGATGTCACAAATCCTCTTTATTTATGGCATGAGATACGGAAGCAACGTAAAAACCAGGTTAGTCTTTTTTATGTGCACAGCCAAAAAAGCATAGCTTGGTCTCATTTGACAGAGTGACACAAGTAGGCTACTGTAAAGTTAAATTCTACAAAGCCAGAACAAAATCTCCAAAAAAAAAAAAAAAAAACCCAGATCAAATGGAAGACAGATACTATGGGAGCAAGCAGAACTTGGAAGTATAAATAGAAGACATTAAATACAGGTAGCCATAGGATAAAGTGATATTGAATTATTTTGGACTGTTTTTTTTTTTCTTTATTTTTTTTACCAAAGAAAACAACAGGAAATGGAAAGAGCTGAATAAAACGTTTCTCTGAATAAGGTGTCAAGAAAGGCAGGGACTTTTTTTCTTGGCAAGAAAGCAGAAAGATCTGGAAGGATGCAGAGGGAGTACAGAGTCAGCAGTGTATTTTAGAAGTGTTCCAGAAGGCTGAGTGCTGAGTTTTGGCAAAATAAAATTATCTAAGAATGAGGAGGGTGAAAAAAGATGACTCCTGAACCTGCAGAACATGTAAAGCCACAGCACTGATCTCGGGCTGAAACCTTTGGGTATTCCCTGTGTGGCAGGTGGGATGATGACAGCAACAGTCCTTTTATTTCATAATTTGCCCCTTAATTTTAAGACTAGAGCAAACAGAGTTGAAGGTTTGTTGCCATTAGTGATGATAGTTTGACAAAGATCAGTGAAAGAGGAGGTTTCTTGGCATCACAGCCAGTACTGGATGTATCCAGGTTAGGCTTTAAGGACCATTCCAGCAGGCCTTGTCCAAACAGAAAAGTCTAAGGCTGCTACTTAAGAGAAAGAATTACTTGTGCTTCATTGTAAGCACTATTCTTTTCACTCCTTTTTTCCTCTTCTAATTCTTCCAGCTCTTTTTTTTTTTACAATTTGATTTCCAAGTCTTCAGTTAAAATTGCCATGTACATTAAAAACATTTGTAGCACAGTGACTGTGTTTTAGATTAATACTTGTGTATATATATACAAAAATGACTACATATATACATAGAAAGCTATTATTCTGGTTATACCACTTAGTAATTCTGCCACACCATTATAAATTGTAGCTATCCGATAATTCTTGAAGGATTCCTGGTCACATTTTGTTGCTGATTTCCCTTGTTCTGTTTCTCTGCTTTTCTTGAAGCGTTAAGAGGGCAATGTATGTTAGGATCAGGTGAGCACATCCCACATGCTCCTTTTCCTGTGTTTGCAGTCCTGTGTGATTGATAAGTCACTCCAATAACCCTCACCTCTTTCCCAGTGAACTCTTTGTCTCTGCTCCCCTCAGTTCCCATAAAATTGTTCCTTTTTTTCCCCCTAATGCTTTCCTTGCTCAATGGAAGAAACAAGTAGATGTTTTCCTGGCAAAACCCTATTAATCCTTTTTATTTCAGCATGTAAAACACTACAAAAGGTGCCATATTTTCAAACCGATAACCTGCAACTTTTGAAACTTTCAAGTAAGTGCAGAGATGATTCAGTGTGAGTTGGATACATAAAAAATAGCAGGAGGCACTGGTGATCACAGGCAAGATGTTTAGCATGCAAAGGAGGTTTCTGAGTAAACAGCTCCCCCAGAAAATGACAGATTTGTGTACTACAGCAATTGCTACCACAGTGGGGAGTGGGTTGCCTGGCTATTTATTCCTCTGTTAGATAATCTGCAGGTTATATACGTGAAAATATGGTAATTTTGCCCTACAGAAATGAAGCTCAGAGTCTGGTTTTCTCAGTCCATGTTTGATGAGCAACCTCAGGACTGTCTGCTCAAAATCTAATTGTACTATCAGTGAAGAAGTGCGATGGACTTACTGGATTTATTTTTCCATCACTGGATGTAAATTTACAGAGTCTAGTAATTCTTTTCCTTTTTTTTTAATTTTACACCTGAATTTCCGTTTCTCTAGATCGTGACACCTGCTCTGGTACCAGCAGGTTTCCAGGCTAAAATAAGCCACTTTTTCAGTTTGTGTTGCCGTTTTTAATGTGTCCCAAGCTAGAGAAAAATAAACATTTTCCTTTAGCACTTCACAAAACATGCCATGTGTATATAGGGGTGATACAAGAGCAGTTCCTGTTTACAGACGAGCATTTTGAAAATAGAAAATTAATCCCGGGGGATGTGAATATATCCCAGGGCGTAAAAACTTAAATACTGTTTAAAACGTCTTCCCCAAGCAGTTTTTGCAGGTTTTCATGACGGCAGATGTTGTGGAAGTTGTTAACTTCCTGTGCTACATTTATCCAAGTACAGTCAAAAATATGCCCAATCTAGAAGGCACTCTTGCACATCAAGAATCTCAACCACACTGAAGACTGACAGAGTAAGAAACTGCCCCAAGAAAGATGTCAGGATTAAACTACAGCTTGTGAAGCGGTTTGGGATCTTCCTGGATAGAAAAAAAAAATAAATTATGTAAGTAAGTAAGTAAGTGGCTTTTAGTTGATCATTTCTTCTCTTGTCCTGGTTTAAATGCCATGAATCGGCAGTGGAACCAGTGACAGAAACAGGTACATCAGAGAGAAAAAAATCAAGTGAGTAATAGTATATATAGTGGGTAGAACCAGCCTCAGGATGTTTAAATGTTTTGTCGTAGCAGACCACTTCATTATTTACTGGAGACAAAGAGGACCATGTATAGGCATAATATTTTTATAACTGAAGAAGTCTGGAGTCTATTATACACTCTGCTGGCTGCTCTGCAGTGCTGGGCAAGGAGAGAAAGGAAAACCATTTGTCTCAGGGAACATCCAACCCCCTTTGGAATAATGTTACCTTGCCCTGTAGCACGTGGATTTTGCAGCCCAACTGATGTCATTTCTTCTTCAGTATGAAAACCATCTGAGGGCTCCCCAGAGGCCTGTGTGGTCAGAAGGTCCTGGTGGGTGAATCTGCACAGCCCAGACACCGTCACAGACTGCGAGTGAAGGAGCTCACACGGAGGTGCCTTCCCTTGGGAGTGGGGCACGAGCTGGGCAAGCAAACGGTTTCCACGGCTCAGATCAAAATTCTGACCACTGCAACAGCCCATTCTCACAACCCTGGGAGTATTGTTAATTAATTAATTAATTGTTCATCAAGGATGACGGAAAATAAAGGTCACACCTGCAAGGAGAAAGTGTGGGCAGAGTTTCCCCCAGGTTCTCCATGGCCGTGCCGTGTTCCAGATCTGAGAGAGGGCATGATCACTCTGCCTTGCTCTGGTGATGTTAAACTCCTCCCAACCTCCTTCAAGGATGCAAATCCCAGGGAATACTGTCTTGAAGTCCAACATTTGCCTCTCTGCTCCCCCGCTTTCTGCACAACAGCACGCAGAGGCAACGCCTGTGATCGTAAGAGTTATGCTACAGGACTCAAAGTTTTGGAAACCTGCTGGTTGTCCAGAATCGGGAAAAGTATCAGCCCAGCAGGGTTAGCCAGAGATTATTACCTTTACACAGTTGGAATGGCTTGGAAAAAGGCAAGTCTATTTTACTTTCCTTCATTAGTCAACTTTTACTGTGAATTCCTGCGAGTCACGTTGTCTTTTGGACAACAAAGAGAATGGTTTTTAGCCTGCAGCTGTTGACCTGCTGCTTGACAGCTCCTCCAAAGGACCTCTATACAAAGAGAGAAAAAAAAAAGCTTACAAAAATATTGGCAGGGTTTAGAAGCCAGCAGGTAACTGAGCATGTCCACAGCAAGTGTACAGAAACCACTTAAATACTTCGCTGGTGGCTAAAAAGTCTATGGGAAAGAATTTGCTTTGATACCAAATTTTGAAAGAGGAAATAATAACTTCTATACCTTCTAAGAGCTGCTCATGCAGTGAGAACATGGCCATAGTCCTCCAAAAACATGAACCACTGGGGTGACAGGAGAGTTTTGTGCAGAGTCTGCTCTTGGTACAAGTTATTTACAGTAAAAAAAAAAAAAAAAAAAAAAGTAAGAAATATCTCAAATTTACATTTGCAAAGCTGCTACATTAAACAGGAATAAGGTGGCACTGTTTTAAAGGTGCAAGATTTGCATCACAGGACAAAGCATAGTTTTTATTTACAGCCCTTACCTGGATTTTTATATTAGACTAAATATGGCAAACCAGAACACCAGTAGTAGTTTGGGGTTTTTTTAAAAGTTGAAAATAAATAAAATTGAAT